TTTGCTGGTGTTGTCAAGCCGATCGGATCATATAACCCAGCAACCTGGCTCAGCAACTCGCGTCTTGTCAATGGGTTTGGTGTCTGTGCCATCACTTCATCCAGTAGCAAATCCTGGCCGAGCCGCATTTTTTTCTTTCGCTTGGAGAAGTTGATCCTCACCAAGACATGTAATTCGTCCTCCTCCACGATGTAGCCAAGACCAAGCGCCTTGTTGTCATCATCTTTCATTTGGTTTGGCAGGACGACAATCTTCGGCGATGTCTCTTCTTTTCCTCCCCCACACTGCCCCGAGAAGACCCATGGTTTGAGTGCGAAACCTCCTGCCTTCAAGATCTGTTCCACGTTTTCTGTTATGGTTTTGAGTCTTTCCTGGCAGTTGTGCGACGTTAGGATGTCATCGACGTAACTGTGTTCTTGCAACACTCTTTGCTCATCTTTCAGGTGGCTGAACTGCGGTAGTTTGGACGTCTCCCTCATTGCCAGTTGCGCAATACAACCTGCTGGCTTGTCCCCAATGTTCACACGCGTGATTGCGTATTCTTCCAGGTCCTCGTTCTCTGAGTCACGCCACAAGAACCGGTGTAGATGGACCTCCCGCTCTTCGAGCCAGACTGAGTTATACATTTTCCTAATGTCTCCAAGAGCGGCGAAGGAGCCTTGTCGGAACTTTAGGAGTACAGCTCGGATTGGGTTGAGGACGTCGGGGCCTTTTATCAACAGATCGTTTAGGCTTTGACCTTTGTATCTTTGACTACTGTTCCAGACGAGTCTCACTGGCGTGGTAACAGAGTGGGGGTTGGGAGCAATGAGATGACTTATATACCAGACGGGGCCTTTCCAGGTAAGTAGATCGTCTGCAGTCAGTTTTTTGGCAGCCCGCCGGTCAACCATTTCGTGTACTTGAGCACTGTAGGCCTTCTTCCACTGTGGGTCTTTGGCAAGCTGCCTCTCTGTTCTGGAAAAGGTTGCCTCCACAGCTCGTTTGTTGTTGGGTAATGTGCAGGGGTCCTCCAACCACGGATAACTGGCATGCCAGTGGGGACTGTCACTGTGGTCATCAGCACCAGCATACGTCAGGCCGCTCATTACCACCTCTAGCTCTCGCTCCTCAGCCAGCGTCATGTCTTTGCCACCTGGTTGGCAATTGCCGCAACGGCAGCCTCCGCATCTTGGGGTGCAGGCCGCACCGATGCTTTCCCATTTCCACCAATCGATAAAGTCGCGGTTGGTGGCTCTTGAGTGGGAGTGTTTGGTGTTGGAGGTGCAGACATTCTCTGTATACAGCATCGCAGCCGTTCTCATAGACCTGGCGAAGTGTGTCCTGGATTGATGAGCTGTGATTCTGGCCTCTTCGAGCAGATCAGGATGTGACCCTGCGACTGTTTTCCCCAGTGGTCCATCCCACAAGACAAGATCCCCAACTGTCCGTATCTTTTGTGGGACCAACCGGCCTTCTTTGTGGCTTATCAATAGCTGGATTTCTTTTGGTCTCACAAGTTCACTGAGGGGGATGTCTGGGAAGAACGTTTGGAGTCTTTTGGCTGTCACATGCCTGTGGACATCTGCAATGCTGTCCAAGCCATAGCAGAGGAGCTGGTGGGACCTGTAGTTGCCCTTCTCTGTTTGGACCCGGATCTTTAGGAGGTATCGTTTCGTAGTAACTTGTACTTTCATCCCTCCCACACCGTGGACGACAAGAGTTATGGGTTCACTTCTGAGGTTCAACTGCTCAGCTGCGTCATGAGTTATATAGTTTGTATCGGACGCAAGGTCAATTAGCGTCCCAACTTTTTGGCCAGCATTGGCTGTGACTTCTAAGAGCATCATAATGACCGGCCACTCCATTAAATCGTTCTCTGCTAGGGGATTTGGTTGGTTGGACAGAGAAGTCTTGGTCACTGCATTGCAGAAGACGTTGCGACACTTTTCAGCAATGTCAGGTGTGAGGCCCTTAATAAAATCTTCTTGGGCTTGGGTGTAGCGTCCTCTTGAGCTACCTCCCACTGTAATGTCCTTAGACCTTTGGACTGGGTTCCCCTTGGACATGTCCGCTTTTGGGCAGAGGCAGTAATGGTGTTCTGCAGTGCGCTGTTCATTGCAGTCCGGCCTCCTGCATAGGAACTCTGTTTTGCAACACTCAGTTTCATTGTGAATCTCCAAGCATTTTTTGCATGCTCCCAGCTTCCTCACAGCTTCCTTCCTCTCTGACAGTTTGAGTGTTCTGAATTTCTGACAGAAGTATAGTCTCTTTTTGTGTTTCCCGTCACCGCACACTACACACCCTACGGACTGGTTGCTCGGGGATTGGGTGGATGTTCTGGTTCGGGCTTGACGAGGTTCACATTTTGGTTTTGACTCCTCCTCTCTTAGTTGATCCAGATTTTCATAAATTGCTTCTTGACCATGAAGAAACGACAGGAGGTAATCAAATCTATTGTCTTGTTCGGCCTCATCGTCTTTGCCAGCCACATGGAGTAGCCACTCCTTCTTTAAGGCATCTGGGAGCTTAGTTTCTATGGCCTTCGTGACAAGGGGGTTTTTTATCGCACCGGTTGCACCCAGCTCCTTCAAGTCGATGAGTGCTTTTTGTACAATTTGGATGAGCTCCACGATTTTTCTAGGCTGGTTGCCTTTAACTGCCGGGAAGGTCTGGAGCTCCTCCACTATCTCGAGCGCGATGTTAGTTTTATTCCCGAAGCGGTTCTCCAGAACGCGGAAGATTTCTTCTGCTGTTGTGTAGCTTGATAGCCGAAGATCTCGTACTGTTCGCTCATCTACGCTATCTAGAAGCTGATATTTTCTTATTTCTCTAGAGCCAGATGGTTCCCCCTGGACCTGGAGCGCTTCCCAGTCTTTCTTCCACTGGTGGAACTCTCGGCGGACGCCAGTAAACTTCGGGAGGGAAGTTGGCCTTAATCTAACGGCTGGTGCAGTTGAGTACATGAGCGAGGCAGTGCTTAACCGGCCAGCGTTTTCTCGGGTTTGCCCTTCTATAAAGCTGGCTTTTCTCATGGTCAGTTTTGGTAAAATGGTTTCAAGGCTTTTGATTCGTCTCTGAAACTGCTGTTTCTCTGCAGGGGGGGCCCAGCTCTTCCAATGTCTATGTACAGTCTTGGCGGTCTTCACAAGCTTTTCTAAATGCATTATCACAAAGTCGAATGCCTCCGTACTTGTACTTGGGTCTACAGTTCCCACATGCTCGGCTTGTGACTCTGCCGTTGTGATAGCCTGTGTTAGTTCATACTCCCCATAACTGTCCCATAGCGTCTTTTGTATTAGATCCTTTAACTGTTGCAGTTTTCTCTCACACTCAGTGGCTGTTTTGTCCAAGTCAGACTTCTGCTGCTCGCTCAACGTTCCATCTGCACTCTCCGCAGTGTATTGTTCTTCAACATCATCGTTGGCTTCTAGGACTCTGCCGGCTTCTGTTGTGAGCTTTAAAATACTGTCTCTGAGTTCCTCTTCGGACATCATGGTGTGCATACGTAGAACTCCATTGGCCAGGCGGGAAAACTGACGCTTTACGGACGTTCTGGCAGATTTAAGCTGATCTAGGTCTACCGATTCGGCCATCTCTGGGTTGGGAGCTAGTTTCTTTTGTCTCTCTGGACACGTTTGGGTCACGCTGGTCACTCCACTTTAGTGTTTTTTCCAGTCTTCAGACCACGGTTTTTCACTGTCAAGTTATTTGGTGATATGTTTGTGCAAATTCCCCACTTGAAAGGGATAAACCCTCCACATATGAGTTTGAACTGGATTTCACTCAATGATCAGCCATTGTTCTTGATTCATGCCATTTATTTGGCTTGGTTTCAGCTTTAGGTTCAGGTGAAAAACCTCAAAAGGAGAACAGAAACATACAGTCATTTTCCTATGCAAATAAACAGTCTTCTAATTGCACCTTCAACAAATAATGTTCCTGCTAGTAAAACAAAATAGTATTATTTTAAATAATATTTACCCCCAAATGAGTTAATCTATATTTTAACCTGGTTTTAAGCAAATACCAGTAAACTGTGTGTTTAAGACCTTTTTTAAACATTCTTATACATTTTATAGTTGTATTGTAGTATTAACACATGCCAATTAACCAAATGAGTTACAAACTAAAGTCTATTTTCACAAAGGTAAAGTCTATTCCCTAAGTTTTTAACCACATTTGAAACTTAATACATTATCTTAGCTTTTTATCAAAGGATCAACAGTTCTGGTTTTAGCACATTTTTAAAGTAATATATTTCAACATTTTAACACTAAGTACTTGATTTTAACATTTTATCACTAAGTGATTGATTTTTACATGATTGCGAACTGCGTTTTCCAAACATGATCCGTATACATGAAACATTCAGTTTTTAAACTTAACATTTTTCATAATTTTAACATAACGCGAATATATGGCGAATTTTGTTAATTAGTAGTGAACATAATATTAACGAACACAGACTAGTTAACCCGCATTCCTCCCTGGAGTTAGGTTTTGTTTTGTCTAACAACAGTACAATTTATAAACAACAATCAAACAAAGTAACTGTTTTTTGAGTCCGTGTTTCCTCTCCTCCCAAGGGCTCTTGAACGCGTCGCCGCGTAAGTTCAAGCGATCGCAAGTGAGGAACGGCGCTTACCGGCTGTCTCTGATGGGGTTGTGAGAGGGTTACTCTTGCACAGTTTTTGTCTTTATTGTTGTCTTTTTGCGCTGCTTGGCCGCTGAGATCGCTTGTCCCACTTGAACTCACACACAGAAGTGTCCGTGTCCGTCCCTTTTAACCACCCCGGGTGGATGCAGATCACGCAGGTGAGCCGTTCCACCCACCATTTCCCTCCGGTAAGGAGGGGGAGCGGGACTACAATGTAGTTCGCCAGCACAGTTACCATAGCGATGATGTCATAAAGTATTCTGTCCTTAATATATAGATATATACCAAAGGACCGGGGAGCTTGGTGTCTGCGGACCATTGCTTCGCAAAAACACAACACTTCAAACATTACAGCTTCAAAATGGAGTCCAGGAGTAAAGTGAGAAGGATCATAAAAAAGGAGAATGAGGACTCTCGACTTTCTGAGACCATAATATATGAGTATGTAGAGAAGCGGAGGCTGCGATTGCAGCAGGAGGAACGGGCTCAGAGAGAGGCTGAGGCCAGAGAAGAGTTCTTAAGCGCTGAGGTGATGCGTGAACTCAAGCAGAACTCAAGCCTCCATCTGGTGAGAGAACAGATGAAGACACGCCACCAATGTGGGCTGGAGTTCGAGCGCAGGAAGGCCCAGCAAAGGTGGCGGCGTACAGAAAAATGTGCTCAGAACAATAAACGCTTTCTGGAGGAACGGCATAAAAGTGAGGAGCAGGAGGAGAGAGAGATCCAGAAGAAGGTGGAACAGGAAAAGTACAAGGAGCAAGTGGAGATGGCCATCCGTACAGCCTCCATGGAAAACCGTATCGCTCTTCCTCTGGGGGGCCAAAGAAACGGTGACGTCGACAATCGTCTTCATTTCTTCAAGGACGGACAAGGCTTCATTGTGAACTCCAAGAGAAAGTTTGAGCCTTGTCAACAAAGAAACAGGGAAGAAGATAATCGTCTTCACTTTTGCAAGGACAGACAAGGCTTCATTGTGAACTCCAAGAGAAAGTTTGAGCCTTGTCAACAAAGAAACAGGGAAGAAGATAATCGTCTTCACTTTTGCAAGGACAGACAAGGCTTCATTGTGAACTCCAAAAGGACCTTTGAGCCTCGTCAGCCTTTAATTTTGACCGATGAGACACCCAAAAAACAGGTGACAGTACCTCAAGGCAACACCACTCCAATACCAAAGAGTGTGAAACAAGTAAGAGTGCAGGAGCAGAAACAGCAATCCCCCATTGTTTGCCGAGGGTTAGGGCCAGTCAAGAAGTTGGACCAACCATCACCAAAGTTGTTGGCCAAGAGGGAATCTAGGGGATCAGCTCTTCCTATGAGGTCAATTTTACGAAACAGTGTGGTCTTGACAGAAGATAGTTCCAAGCCTGCTCTGGAACATAAGTGTGAAGAATTGAAACTACCTCCAATTAGTAATCAAAAAAAGAAGCTGAGGATAGTCCCAGTTCAGGCCCCAACATGTGAAACCAAGTCTGAGAGAGGCAAACTTCCTGCAATTCAACGTCAGGTGAAGTCAATAACATTGCCACATGAATCCCAACCCGGGGAGCAAAGCGAAGCGAAGTCCCAGGTTTGGATCCAGACACATTAGCCGTGATGTGCCAGCCACGTCCCCCCATGACACCAAGACAGCCTGGAAGAATCGGAACGTACAGAACCAGGGGCCCGGTTGTCAGATTCCCCCCAGACCTAGCAAACGACTCCAAAGTCCCAATCAAAGTCGCTCCAATCCTCACAACTCGCCAACATGTGAGACCCCACATTTGTCAACTCTATTTCTTTTAAGAAGGAGCTTAACATTGGATATCTACAGGTTCGCAAAACTCCCAATTATAAGTGAACTGAAAAGTGTCCAAAATGATCCCCAAAGTGTCGGCAAAGCAACGGAATGTGATTCTATTGTTTTGTCGGTATTTGGCCAACCAACACACAATGACCTCTCAGCCATGAGTTGGAGATTTATAACCTGTAGGTGTGGTTAGACACTACACCCACAGGTTTTAAATGGTATCTCTGTGGTAACCTCCAGCCCCACGTCAAGGTGTCCAACCCCCCCTCCCATGGCAAACACAAGACCTGTTATCTACGGGAGGCCCTACCAGAGTGTGGTTGGACCCCTCATATGGGGTTTCTAACCACACCCTTCATCATCTGTGGGGGTTGGCTCTTTATCCTACCTGATGGTCCAGTGTGTGTCATTGGATCCGAATCCAATGACACACACTGACCTCACCTACTGACTCTTTTTGGCACATCTAGATTCACACAATCACACGAGGGACCATCAAGCTGCAGGCAAGGCACTGGGATATCTGATCTTGTTGTTTTGTTTATGTTTGTTGATCTGCACACCTGACCTCCTCAGAAATGTGTCAAAATATCCCCAAAGTGTTGGCAAAGCAACAGAATGTCTGATTCCATTGTTTTGTCCGCATAAATGGCAAACCAATACAATGACACACACTGACCTCTCAGCCGTGATTTGGAGATTCATAACCTGAAGGTGTCTAACCTTTACAAAGGTGGAGGGACGCGATACTCTCATTCACCGGGAGAATTCCAACACGTGGCGGCCGAGATGGGGGGGGCAATGAGTATGGCCATCCCCACTCGCCGCCTCTCGCCACGTGAATATCCAGAAAAGTGGAGCATCTCATTAGTTGATCTCACAACCTCCCCCACGAGCTAGGGCTCCGTCCCCCGAGCTAGGTGACTTTCCACATCCCAAGAGCCAGTGTTTGGGACTGGGTTGTCGATGTCTCCGCCTTCAACTGCTGCCCAGTCCTCTCTGCACCTCTAAACCACGGATCCCTCTGTGGTCCACAGGAGGGCGTGCCCACCTCGTTTTTGAGCCCAAATCCCTGGCCTGGCTCCAGGAGAGGGCCCCGGCTTTCCATGTCGGGCGCACATTTATTGCTGTCATGCTATCCATGGTTGGCTTCGGACTGCGCTTCGTCTGACTTGTCACCCGAGACCTGTTTGCCATGGGAGGCCCTACCAGGGGCATGAAGCCCCAGACAACATAGCTCCCAGGATCATCCGGGCACTCAAACTCCCCCACCACATTACGGTGGCAGTCCAGAGGAGAACTGCCATGTTTACCCACAGGTTAAGATCAGCTTTTTCAGAGAGAAAAGTTAAAAAGAGAGGACCACCCTCACTCAACCGATCAGCTCTCAGCCCAAAGCGTCAAATAAATAAATAAAATAGTGATTCACAGGGTTTTTTGTACAAATATAACGATAGCATGTTTTCCAATAGTAATAAAAGACAAGTTGTGGTCTGATTTGATAATAATAATAATGAATCAGCCTTATGTAGGGCTTTTTAGACACTCAAAGACACTTCACATGTTTTCATTCACTCCATACACAGTGGTGATAAACGTCTCCTGTCCTGGCATCCTGACAGAAGCGAGGCAGCCAGTATGTGCCATCAGCCCCTCCGACCCCCACCAACCATTCATGCACACACCATACTCATACTAAGCATTATGGGTGAAGTGTCTTGCCCTGGACACAGCAGACATCTCCCATCACAGTACTAACCAGGCCCTGTCCTGCTTAGCTTTAAAGGTCTGGCTTCTACATGCAGGTGCAGCTACATGGGAAACATTTGGAAATAAAAAACAGGTGTGATTTATGCGGGAAAAAGTTAGGTACCCCAGCTTTAATGAGTATTTGTACAATATTGTGGCTAATGGTAATGAATGATGTTTTCAAGGGCTGCCAGACTGATTAAAAATGAATTATTAATAGAGAATATATTATCGGCAATTTCAGAATTTCCAGCGCCCTATTTTTGAACACTCTCTTCCGTTTTTCTTTTTAACCACAAACACATTTCAACATTACATTTCAGCATCGCACATTCCCTCTGTCAAGTTTTTTTGTGTGTCTTTTGTGAATTATAAATGAGGTCTTCTCCTGTACCGCCCTGTCCCACAAACGCAGCTACAGTTACAGGCCTCACAAAAAGACGAGCTCTTTTCTTATTTTTACTTGCCGTGGTGTGACACAGTGAACTACAGTGTGCATTCAAGACTATTCTTACCGAAACTGTAGACAAGAATTCACCTCTTTTTTTTCCCAAAACGCTCGGCTCGTCCACGTTTTGGCACCAGGAATAAGAGGAGCAGTGTTGTAGCAGTTGTCCAAATGCCAGATCTTTCCGACGCTTTTATGGATAGAGACGTTCAGCGGGCAATTTGAAGTCAATTCATCCTGACAGCACGTAAAAACCTCTTACTGTTATTGAGCGAACGCGTCGAGATTCAACAGATTCTCGAGCAGTGGGAAGACTTTTGTCTATTCTGTTGTTCTTACTATGGCTCAAGTGAAAACAAGGCATTCAATCTGGGCAGCCCCAACAGACAAAAGGGCTTATTAGAACTTTATGTACATGTTTTGGTTGGCAAAATAATTTGTTATTCAATAAATTAACACATAAGACTCAGACAGTATATGCAAGAATGAAATTTATTTGATACTGTCTATGGAAGAAGGTCCTGGGTTCGAATCTTGGTCGGAACAGGGCCTTTCTGAGTGGAGTTTGCATGTTCTCCCTGTGTCTGCGTAGGTTTCCTCTGGGTGTTCCGGTTTCCCCTACCACTAAAAACATGCACAATAGGTATGAATGTAAATGAGAGAGTGAATGGATGGTGTTGATTGGTGGCTGATGCGCAGTGTGTTCGGCGACTCGCTTCTGTCATCACCGTGTGTGGAATGATTGGAACATTATCTGAACTCTGAACATTGTAAAGCGCTTTGGGTGACCTTGGTCTGTAAAATGCGCTCTATGAATAAACATTACTTACTTCCTTGTGATTTAATCCCCCTGGGCCTAGACCTTGATGGTGGGAGATAAGGAGAACGTTCGTAGAGCTGTTCTATTTTGCTGTCTATTCTGACCAATCACTCAGCACTCCGCTGTGTGGATAGAAAACTGATGGATTTGAATGTTTTTTTTTGTTAAATATCATGATGACAAAGAACACAACAATCCCCACAACATCCGACTTTTTGAGATTGCTGTAGGTTCCCTGTCAACTCAAAAAGTGTTTGTTAACATTGAGGTCTATGGGAAAATCTCGACAGGTGGCTGAGGCTTCAGTATCACCACCTCCTCCAACCTTTCAAAATAAAGGCATTTACAATCTGCCGTCTACTGTAATATCAGCCAGTCAAACTTTATAAAAAAAAAAAAATCTAATTCAGAGAACAGTTTTATCAGTCAATCTCTGGTATGTAAGTATCTTTGTCCATGATTACTCACTTTTGATTTTGATTGTACATAACACATATTGCCCAAAAGAGACTATGTTTTTAACCTTTTAACATGTTTGCACACTTCCTGTCTTTTGCACACCCTGATCTTATCTCTGCCAAATGTGACATTTTCATTTCTCTATAGTGAGATCAATAAAGTTTATCTTATCTTACATTTGCGATTGAGTCCTTGTTTAGAATTGGGATTTGTCTCTGGGGAAGGATGAATAAGTCCCTTTTCAGACCTACGACAGTGCTCTCGGGTCTGAAAAGTCCAAAGAGTGTGGAAAAAGTGCGTTTGATGGATGGACTGTTTGAAAAGGTGCAAACAAAGCCGTCAACACGACTCGATTAAGGCCGTGTCCAGTCTCTGGTTTACCATCCTACAGGAAATGAGACTTCAACAGTGCTTCAAAAACACCAGTCTGAAAACAAGTTCTGAAATGACACAAAGGTCATATTTTGTTAGGTCTACAAAATAACAGGTGAACCCCTTGCCATTCACGCGGTTAACCTTTCGCTGCCTCGTTTTTTTGCAGATGTTTTTGGTGTGCTTTTTTGGCTTTTGTTACCTTTATTCAGAGTCAGAAAAAAAGTTGTGCTGCTTGTGCAAACTGCAGTGATAAGTTCAGAGGACTACCGGGGTTTCCCCGTAGTCCTCAGTCCTGCTCCTGCCCCTCAGTATCCTCTGCACCTGTATTTTACAGCTTACGCACAACTTTTTACAGCTGCAGCAGCACTCAGACCTACAACAAAACGGTTTGATATATCCGCAATCGCACATCAGCAGTCGGGATTTCAGGTGGTTAGAAAAGTGTATCAAGTGTGTGGAAAGGATTTTTACAGCCTTAAAACATTTTTTTTTTTATTCGATAGAGACAAAGCATAATGAACATAAATTAAATAAGATAAGATAAACTTTATTGATCTTTCAATTGAGAAAAATAACATAAAACATATGTAAACAAACCGAATTAAAGGAGCCAGTTTCCGCTGTAGTTATGTAGAGAAGCAGCACAAGGAAATGTTAAGAGTCCAGTGGTCACATGACTGGTTTGTTTTCATCCATAGTTTTCCAGCTGTTTCTTCTTGGATTTTGCTTTTCATGGTTTATTTTTATAGCGTAACCCTGCGATAAACGAGGGACCTCTGTATTCAGTGAAAAGAAAATATTGTCACCTTTCAAATTGGCAACAAAAATATAATTCAACTGCTCTTATGGAGACACATCATAAAAATCTTATCGAGCTTTTCACTCACGTTGTAACCGAAGCCCTTTTGAAACACCACACGGACACACACTTAAACACACATTCACACACCTACACACACACACACACACACACACACACATAGTGAAGATGAAAGGCCCTGAATGTCGCTCCTCTGAAACAGATCATCAAAGTGAGTCCTGAGGCGGTGGACCTTTTGTTGAAATGACAACATAAAGATGGCCCCATACACAAAAATGGCCCCTACACAAACAAGGCACTGGTCCATTGTCCGTTGGCTTGTGGGAGCAGTTGTGCCACATATTGTTGTGTGTATTTCACCTTCGGAGGGCTCGGTCCGTTTCTCTGCCTCACCTTTCATGTGGCTTCAAAGATCGGCGGCACAGCTATAGTATCAGCCTATGCTCGGTGTGTGTGAGGCAAATGAGGAAGATTGAGACAGAAACTTGGACTCCACCTTCGCCTGTTGCCATGGGGATGTTTTTGCTTCGTATGTATCTCAGCATAGTGTTAAACTTGAACTAGATCGACCTTTCTAAAGTGTCTCTGTTATCTTAGAATCTCAGCAGATATGGCTTGGAAGTTAGACTAGTGATGTCACTTCCATGTCTCAAATGTTTTATCTAAAGTACCAATATTTTCATGTCAAGTCCTCATTAAATGGCCCTAATCTGTCAAAAGGCATAAATACTTTAATGCAACCAAGATATACAAATTTCCAAATGAGTTTTACAGCCCCTAAATCTTGTTATTGTTTTCATTTCAATGTCCCACCCTCCACAGTTTTACCAATCAGGCACATATAACCCAACTTCTGGAAAAGACACACAAAAATGCGGTCGTTTTGCTCTAAAAAGAGCAAACATAGGCAGAGCAGACACGCTCGATATTTTCCTCCATTTCCACATCTATTCTCAGTGAGCTGATAAAAAAAGTTAATTTGCAAAAAGTACAGTCTGAATGCAAACCGGACCAAAAGAAAAATGTTTGGTCCGCTTTTGGTTCGGACCAAGCAAGTGGACCAAAGGACTTTTCTGGTCTGAATACCCCCTGCCACAACAACATCCACAACACATCAGCAGCTTTTTACAATCTAAAAAACATCCTCTGAATCAAAAGTATAGCGTATAGAGCAGTGTCTTATCCATACATTTGTCTCCAGTCGGTAAGACTACTGTGACGGCTCACAGGTCTCTCCAAACAAGTTTTAAAACAGCTGCAGTCTGTCCAAAACACTGCAGCTTGAGTCCTGACTAGAACCAGGAAGTACAATCACATTAGTCCAGTTCTCAGGTCTCTCACTGGCTTCCTGTGGCTCAGAGAATAGACTTTAACAAGTCTCTCCATGCCATATGAACCAACTGGGACTCTGAGGAGCACAGGGACTGGCCTCCTGCTGGGACTTTGAGGAGCACAGGGACTGGCCTCCTGCTGGGACTTTGATGAGCACAGGGACTAGATCTGAATCTGATCTGAATGTTTGACCCATATGAGTTTGTAATCCATCTTCACTCTCCTCAGTGGCCGTAAACATAGACGGGGATTTTTTTGTGAGCGGCGGTGGTCTTCAGACAGCCTTCAAAGTGGGACGCATCACCTTCCACTGGGGGCGCTGTAACGCAACATCAGACGGCTCTGAACACAGCCTCAACGGAGTCAAATATCCTTTAGAGGTACATTTCCTCATCATCTTTACTCATACGATACATAATCTCTAATATAACACAACAGTTACCTCTACTTAAAGCCAGAAAAATACTTTTGTGACCAATTTTTAATAATCATAGACCGTATAGTAGAAACGGACTGACGGAGTGCTGACGTCACCAAAGTGTTAGCCTTCATGCAGAAGAAGCTGATTTGAGTATAAGCTAGCTGGAGCTAATTTCCTTATATGGACGTTGGTTCTGATGGCTTTGCTGCACGCCATCACTGGGGCATCCATGTTTCTTAAATGTCACTAAATGTGTAAAATAAAAATAAATCAATCTTCCAAAACATCTCTTCTTTATATTTGGCACAGTTGTGATTAAATCCAAACCTACCAGAAAATAATTTCAAATACAGTTAATTTATGAAAAGATGTTAAATTAAGAATGTTTTATACCACTTTTACTCCTCTGGCCCCAAGCAGCTCTTATGTTTTTAAATTTGGCCCCCAACCAAAATGACAGGCCTGAGCTAGAGGGTCAGCATTGTCCATCTTCATACAGTCTATGCTCATAACATGTACAGACGATAAATAGCCCATCCCTTGCTACTTTCATTATCTTCAAGGTCTGGGATAAATATTCAAGAGTTGCTTAACGTTATTTAAACAGCTTTCAGTTTTTCCAACAACCAAAAACACTTCTCTCCCATGTAACTTCATAACAGGTACTAACACCCATGCTCTTTATATTTGTGCCGTCTGGATCAGATAACAATCGTCTTGGTCGTTGTCTCCCGCAGATGCAGATTTACTGTTACGACCCGGCCCGTTTCGACTCCGTGGATGAAGCGGTGAAGGCGGGGGGCCAGATCACCGCTCTGGCCGTGCTCTTTGAGGTATGTGCGTTTCCGTCTGTGTGTGTGCGACTGTGTCTGTGTGTGCGTCTGCGTCTGCTATTGGCCTGTATCTTTGTCGAGTGTTACCCAGGCAGACGATCATGTTTCCTGATAAGAGCCCGATCACTTGCAGCCTGTTGAGAGTCCTGGACACTGGAGCGTGGACATAACATGGAGAGATAGTCTGTACAGCACAGTGCAGAAGGGGATTAGTTTCACTTGTCTGATGGTTTTAGACGGCTTGAGATCCTGGCTGTATAATGTGATTTAAGTGTAGAATTAGATTCAGAGCGATACTGAGTTGGGGTCATGAATGGGTGCTATGTATATTATTATATCTATTACACGTGGATGATTTCTGGCTATTGTCTCTGGATCATGTCTTGTTTTTTATTGTGGATAATAAGATAAGATAAGATATACTTTATTGATCTCACAAAGGAGAAATTTACAATATAGACATACAATCCATACAGTTGCAGACATACAATACAGGTGCAGACTTCCAGACAAATAAAATAACACAGACAGGTAGCAGACAGACACTAACAGTGCAAATATCTACATAGGTGAACAGTTTCAGTGATATTTACAATGGAAGTGGAGGATCTATCATGTTTGCGTTCTCACCATAGAATAGTGCTCGACTGGAGCTATTCAAAATGGCCGCGAGTGGTCCCGCCCACAAGAAAATTGTGAAAAAACGCATCTGCGCATGCGTCAGCCGGCGCAGCTCCATTCATTTAAATGAGTGACTTCAAAAATTCACAGAAAGTAAACTAGAGTGGACCAAAAAAATCCACCCCCCTCAGCATTGACACACATGTGGAACGGAGCTTTGGGCCAAGAGCCAACTTTTGGACCATCCTGGGCGGCACGGTGGCCGTGTGGATAGCACTCTCGCCTCTCAGCAAGAAGGTCCTGGGTTCGAATCCCGGTCGGACCAGGGCCTTTCTGAGTGGAGTTTGCATGTTCTCCCCGTGTCTGCGTAGGTTTCCTCCGGGTACTCCGGTTTCCCCTACCACTAAAAATATGTCCAATAGGCATGTCTGGCATGCGCCTCCTGTACCGGCGACCCCGCTCCCATCTCTGTGTGGAGTGAGAGATAAATGCCCATATTTAACAATTGTAAACCGCTTTGAGACTCAGATCTGCAGTGAAAAGGCGGTATATAAATAAAGATTACTTACTACTACTTACTGTGGTTCTGTTCACTGTATTTATGGACAGAATTTCTAGGCGCAGCCAGGGGTCGGAGGGGGTCCGGTTCGGAGACCACAGGATTTCATCTCTGCTGTTTGCGGACGATGTTGTCCTGTTGGCTCCAACGAACCAGGACCTGCAGCATGCACTGGGGCGGTTTGCAGCCGAGTGTGAAGCGGCTGGGATGAGAATCAGCACCTCCAAATCCGAGGCCATGGTGCTCGACCGGAAAAAGGTGCCTTGCCCTCTGCAGGTGGGTGGAGAGGTCCTTCCTCAAGTGGAGGAGTTCAAGTATCTCGGGGTCTTGTTCACGAGTGAGGGAAGGATGGAGCGTGAGATTGACAGTTGGATCGGTGCAGTGTGCGCAGTGATGCGGTCTCTGTATCGGACCGTTGTGGTAAAGAGGGAGCTGAGCCGAAAGGCAAAGCTCTCAATTTACCGGTCAATCTTCGTTCCCTCCCTCAGCTATGGTCATGAACTTTGGGTAATGACCGAAAGAACAAGATCGCGGATACAAGCGGTCGAAATGAGCTTCCTCCGCAGAGTGGCTGGGCGCTCCCTTAGAGATAGGGTGAGGAGCTCAGTCACACGGGAGGAGCTCGGAGTAGAGCCGCTGCTTCTCCACGTCGAGAGGAACCAGTTGAGGTGGCTCGGGCATCTGTTCCGGATGCCTCCTGGACGCCTCCCTGGGGAGGTGTTCCGGGCACGTCCCACCGGGAGGAGGCCCCGCGGAAGACCTAGGACACGCTGGAGGGACTATGTCTCTCAGCTGGCCTGGGAACGCCTTGGGGTCCCCCCGGACGAGCTGGAGGAAGTGTGTGTGGATAGGGAAGTCTGGGCGTCTCTGCTTAGACTGCTGCCCCCGCGACCCGGCAACGGATAAAGCGGAAGAAAATGGATGGATGGATGGATACTACTACTTACTACCTGTAAAGACGTTTTCGAGAGGTCTGTTAATGCTATACGTTAGCATTGGCTAATTGTTATTACGGGTCCACCCCCACCCCGGGGTGGTATTGCAAGCATGTCAGTGCACGTCATTTTGGCCACTTTTTAGCTGGGACCCGCCCCCACTGGTTCTCATTCTATTCAGTGAACTTGGAAACTTGCCTGTCATGGGTGAAAACAGAAGAAAGAAGAACAAAACTCAAAATTCACAACATCAAGGATTTAACAGAAATCTAAAATCAAACCACAAAGAAACAGGGAGGAGAATACAAATATCTGAACTCTGAACATTGAAAAGTGCTTTGGTTGATTTTGGTCTGTAAAAATGCGCTTTATGAATAAATATGACTTACAATAGACCTACAAAACAAACAGGAGGAGGAGCACAGGGTTTAAATACATGCCTTTAGGGTGGGACAGACAATCATGTGAACAGACATGAAGTATACCATATATATCAAAATAAAACCTGGTAAAAGTAATAAAAAAGTTCACACTGTGTCAATAATGTCCAATGAGCGACACAGGTTGGTGTCTGAAAAACTCACCTTTCAACCTTTTTCTTTTAACTGTCTATTTGCTGAGGTTCAGTGTGACCCTTTTTATTGTTCCCCGTCTTCATTGATCCAAAACAACACGCCGATCTTTCCCACTGCCGTTCCGGGTCGACCCAGCATTTCATCACTTGTTTCACATATGTGCGTATAAAACCCTTCCGCATGGACCCACATCTTGATTCAACTCCGATTTTAGAAACACACTGAAGAGATTTTTGAGGTTTTATTTTTGCCAAGATCAAAACCCAACCCGCTGTATAGATTATTTCTCTTAGGCCTGCGTCGCTCCCATTTGACTTGACTTATATCACTAAGCCCAGGGTTCAAACGTGCGCATATTTCACGTTTGTTGTGGAGTTTAGTCACGTTTGCCGTAGGGTGAAGCACAGAGGCCATGTTGGAACAGACTCCAGCAGGAGAGAGGCTGCAGGCTGCTGACAGCTTCACAGAGGCTGGATCTGTAATAAAACTGTATAGGCCGAGTTTTTAATAGACCAAAATAAAATGTAAAAAAAAAAAAAACAGAAAAAGTGGGTAGAAGTTCATCCAACAGAACTCGCAACATCAGGATGGAGCATGGACTGTGTATAAATGGACAATGCTAAACCCCCGGCGCAATGAAGCCCAATAGGGAGGTGCTCATGGACAAAGTTTTGCTCTGGTTCCTATTGACTTGCATTGAAAAGTAAACTCCTCTCGCTCACTAACAATTGTTTTTTTTCTCACGGTGACTGTATATTTGGAGTGGACTCATCGTAATGTTTGAGGAAGAAGCCAATTTTAACTTATGCTACTGTAGCCGAAGCCAATTTCCTTTTGAATGAATGAATGAATTGCAAGTCAACATAGAACAAAACAAGCTTGTAACCAAAGGTAGTAGGACCAAGTCATTGTTTTGCAAGTCACAAGTTAGTCTCAAGTATTTGACAGGGAAGTCCCAAGTCAAGACCGACAAGTTTCAAGTCGAGTCCCAAGTCCCATCGTTTGAGTTTCGAGTTCTTTTAAGTTTTAGTTGTCCCGTCTCCGCCTGTAATCTTGCTCCCGCATGTTTCAAAAACCTCATAGTTTTTGTACCCAAACAAAACTACCTTTGGTGTCATTTTTGCGTACTCTTGCAAGCGTTTAGTTTGTTCCTCCTTGTTGGTTGTCTCGTACTTTGTTTGGTTGGATGCTGTCAGGTCAAAACAACGTGGATCTAATTTGATTGGATGTCGTGCCATACACACTTCACGCTGCGGAAATCACGCGCACAGATCCACACAGGTGCGCACAGATGCACACAGGTGCGCACAGATCCACACAGGTGCGCACAGATGCACACAGGTGCGCACAGATCCACACAGGTGCGCACAGATGCACACAGGTGCGCACAGATCCACACAGGTGCGCACAGATGCACACAGGTGCGCACAGATCCACACAGGTGCGCACAGATGCACACAGGTGCGCACAGATCCACACAGGTGCGCACAGATCCACACAGGTGCGCACAGATCCACACAGGTGCGCACAGATCCACACAGGTGCGCACAGATCCACACAGGTGCGCACAGATCCACACAGGTGCGCACAGATGCACACAGGGGCAAAGAAAGAAAGAACAATCAGTGTCTTGTGAACATACTTTTTAATCTTTGGGTTTGAGGAAAGTAGCTAAAGTCTTTTCAAGTCAAAAGGGTCAAGTCCAAGTGAAATCACGAGTCACTGATGTCAAAGTCCAAGTCGAGTGTAAAGTCATAAAAATGTATAACTCGAGTCTGACTCGAGTCCAAGTCACGTGACTCGAGTCCACAACTCTGCTTGTAACTGATGCGATGCAAAAAGAGTTTATAGCTATTGCTAATTTTCAGCTCCAGTCCCTGGTTGGGCATTTCTGTACTACATTAACATTTTCCATATTATCTTAAAACGTACCTAGATGGACATTTTTTCCGACGGCGTTAGCTTGGCGGCGTAACAGGGGTAGACATGTTGCGGAGACAGTCGCTAAGGAAACTGATGGGTCAATCCTTATACTGTATGGCTACAAACAAAATGTCGAAAATAAAAACAGCAGTTTACTTTTTCACGTAAGTCAATCGCAGCCAGAGCGAGTTGGAGCAAAACCTTGTCCATGAACACTTCCCTTTTGGGCTTCATTGAGCTAGCAGGTTAGCATTGTCCATCTGTATACAGTCTAGGCCTTTTCACCATCACAAAACGTATGTATACTCGTTGCAAAACATCAAATATCCAATTATTTGAAAAGTTTCCCGTCACGATTCCGCCGTGACATATCGATTTGTTTCTTTTGACAAATAACTGGTTTTACAAAAGACTTCAATACTTTGGAATATAGCTGTTATTGGTCCTTTTCGGTTCAAGTAGTCAAGTGTACAAAAGTTTCCCACTTGGATTGAAATATGTGCGCAGGGTTTTTAAGGTCGTCTTTTGTCAAAACTCTTTTTGGACTAGAATTGATTTTTGGTTTGAGTTTTCTCCCTTTCATTTCATAAACCGCTCAAGGAGAAAAAGTCAAATGTCAAAACGCATGATGTAGAAGTTCTGTTACAATCGATGCATTTGGAGGAGATATTTTTCACTTCATAACCGACCCGTCAATGTCATGTTTTTAGAAAACACTGGGGTTTTTTTTTGTGTTTCCACTTCTTTTGTGTGTTTTTTTTTGTAATAGTAGTTTTTTTAGCAGTATTTAGAGCTTGTACCTCTAAGTAAGAAGGTCCCTGGGTTTGATTCCACCTCCTTTCTGTGTTCTCCCCGTGTCTGCGTAGGTTTGCTCCGAGTGCTCCGGTTGTACAATAGGTCTGGCTTATGCCTCCTGTTTGGTGACCCCGCTCCCATCTCTGTGTGGAGTAAGTGACAAATGCCCACATCAATTGTAAAGTGCTTCGTGACTCTGGTCTGTGAAAGGCGCTATATAGATAAAGATGACTTACTTTCTGAGCAGGGAAGACTCCACAATAATATTATCTACTTTTCAGTTCTCAGCTGGTGTGGAAGCTTTATCAAAGAGCCTCACAATCTTACAGTTATGCTTCATCCATATACTGTATATACTGTAGATGGACAATGCTAACCTGTTAGCTCAGTGAAGCTCAACAGGGAAGTGCTCCTGGACAAAGTTTTGCTACAACTCGCTCTGGTTCTTATGGACTTACATTAAAAAGTAAACTCCTCCAGCTCAGTAAGCGGTTGTGTCACACTCCCGGTGCCAGCCCCAAACTTGAATATTTATTTAAATTAAAGTGAATATTTCCCTCTGTCTGAGATGAAATTCCAAGATTCTGGTTAGTCACGGAGGACGTGCTGCTTACTTTAGCTGTTAGCTTCTATGTCGGCTGTTCCCTGGACACAGTGCAGCAGGTGGGGGACAGGAGGGTCCTGGCCAAACTAACATCTACGCTGGACCATGACTGTCACCCCCTGCAGGACACTCTCTCTGCTCTGGAGAGCAGCTTCAGTGACAGACTAATTCACCCTCGCTGTGTGAAGGAGAGGTTTCGCAGGTCTTTCCTTCCTGCTGCTGTCAGACTGTACAACGAGAATGTGTAACAGGAACTGCTGAGTCTGCACGTGTCACTGATAATTCACTAGTAACTTTGTCACTATAGTCACTTTACCTGTTATCAGTACTACTACAGTATTACATATCTGATATTTACTGTTATCAGTACTACTGTATTATTTCATATCTGATAATTCTCCCATTCAAGTCACTTTACCTGTTGATATTATTTCTGATGTTTATTCTGCTCATATTCATATTCTCATATTCTCCGCGGCTAATGTATAATATAGACATCTGTAAATACTCCGAACCAAGTGCAATTATAGCCCAGAGTTTATCTTCCATCCATCCATTTTCTTCCCTTTAATCCATTTCTGGGTCAGGGGGGTGGCAGTCAGAGATGCCACCCAAGTCTCATAGCACCAGCCCCTCACTGACCCTCTGCAGGTGGTGAGTCCACAGGAGGGCAACGATGACACTGAAATTTCTCCACTGTGAGACTAATAAAGGTTTATCTTATCTTATCTTATCTTATAGATCTGTACTGACACTATATATGAACAGATAGATATCAGAGAGAGAGACCAGAGAGAGACCAGAGAGAGAGACCAGGGAGAGAGACCAGGGAGAGAGACCAGGGAGAGAGACCAGAGGGAGAGACCAGAGAGAGAGACCAGAGAGAGAGACCAGAGAGAGACCAGGGAGAGAGATCAGATAGAGACCAGAGAGAGGCAAAGACCAGAGGCCAGAGAGAGAGAGAGACCAGAAAGAGAGACCAGAGAGAGAAAGACCAGAGACAAAGGCCATTTTATTTGTATAGCCCTTTCCATAAACAAGGCAAATTGAAGTGCTTAAAGTGCTAAATAAAACTTCTCCATATACCTGCACGTGAGGCACATACTGGTTGCCTCGCTTCTGTCAGTGTGCCCCAGGGCAGCTGTGGCTACAGTTGTAGTTTATCACCACCGTGTTTGGAGTGAATTGATAATGACATGTTTAGCATAAAACCGGTGCATTATCAAAACAAGAAAGAATCAATAACACAAGGCATTAAAATCACCAAAAATCTTCGTACATTAAAATAGTGAAGATAAATCCTTCAGTTGTGTGCACAGCGAGACAGGCTTTGAACATTGTCAGAGTACAGAAGTCCGTCTCACATTTTCAGGAAACCAAAAATGCAATATGCCATTAAAGAGTTTTACAGTCTAAATACTTTGAGCCGACTCTGACTGAACACTGGTTGCCGGCGAACCACATGTCACCACTGTTTTTGTTCCCTTAAAGGCCTCTTTTGTGTGGCTTTGTAATCATTCAGTGTTGCACGCGGGACACGTTTGGAACAAGCCAGGGCCAGACCCGACCAGACCCATGTTTGATCTTTGGGACTCGCTCTTGTTTGCGAGTGGAAATTACTGACGTTGATGAGAGATGACGAGATAAAGCGAGTGACATATGGAATAACAGAAATGAGTTACTGTGGGAAGCATTTACCTGTAGGATATTAAAGTGAAATCTTGTAGGATCATTTTCTTTTCAGTTTGAAGACGGGTTGATTGACTTTTATGGTGGTTGTACGTAATAAATATAAATAACCCTAGTAAGTAAGTAAGTACGTAAGTAATCTTTGTTTATATACCACTTTACACAGACCAGAGTCACAAAGCAGTTTACAATTGTTATTTTTGGGCATTTGTCTCCCGCTCCACACAGAGAGCAGGGTCGCCAGTACTGGAGGCGCAGGCCAGACCTATCGTACATGTTTTTAGTGGTAGGCGAAACCGGAGTACCTGGAGAAAACCCGACGCAGACACGGCGCGGACATGCAAACTCCACTTAGAAAGGCCCTGTTCCGACGGGGATTTGAACCCAGGATCTTCTTGCTGAGACTCAGGGTAGAGGGCCCAGAGTGCTATCCACTCAGCAACCCTCTCTTGAGATGTTGCCTTAACGTTAGGGTATTAACAATACAGTATTATTTTTTGTTTTAAAAGACATACAGTCTTCCTGAAAATGTGAGACAGGCTTCTACTCTGAAAATGTTGAAATCCAGGTTAAAAATAGGTCTTTTTTTTTTACACTGTTTTGAATGTAATTTGATTATTTATGTTTTGTTTGATTGAGTTGTCTTGTGTATGAACTGAGCTATACAAATAAAATTGCCTTGTGAAACCCATTCGGAACAGTAGGATTAGACCTTTATTTCACCATTTACATTATTTTGCTTTCTGTCTGGTCCTGTATGTGTGGATAGATGGATTTTATTACATATTTCCAAATATCGTCGTTTATTGTTGAAAGCTATGTATCCCAGCTTTAAGCCAAGATACAGCTCTGTTTATCTTTTTTAATTTTTATTATTATTTTACATAAGAATAATGGCGGGCCTGCCTCTCCACAGATGTAACCTGTATCTTGGCCCGGTGGTGTCAGCTGCTTCTGTCCAATGAGATAAGCCTAATACCAAACTCTTGAGGCAATTAAAAAACATTCACAATTCCTTTTCTAATTTTCTTGTTTTCGGAGCAGGAGAGGGGAACGACTTGTGTGTCACCGTGACCCAAACTCGGCTTCAACAAAGTGTAATTTCAGAGGTACAGGGAAAATATTGAAGTGACACATTTTGTAACCGAGTGAGAAAAAAAAAAACATATCCTGGATCAGAGCCAAAGGAAAGAGTCAAAATTTGCCAGTTCTTCCAAAACATGCGTCTCGAGAACGATGGAGGATGCTGCCAATATGCAACCTAATTAAATTGCTAATGATTTTGAATAAATTGTGCTTTTGCCGCAGGAGAAATAAACATGTTTCTTGGCTTCACTCTGCGTTTTATCATAACAGACAGTCACAGATCACTCTTTTCTCTTCACAGACGAGTCCTGAAGGCAACAGCAACTACATCCCAATCATTGATGCCATCAACTCTGTTTCCAGATACGGTAGGCTGATTCTAAAACTACTGCTGCTACTACAGCTTCGGCTACTACCTCTACCCGGAGTAGGGGGCCAAGACGGAGGGGAGCAACCCGGGGTAGAGAGCTCAGACGGAGGGGAGCAACCTGGGGTAGAGGGCTCAGACAGAGGGGCTTGACCCGTGGTAGAGGGCCCAGAGGGAGTGGAGCACACCAGGGTAGAGGGCCCAGAGGGAGTGGAGGGACCCGTGGTAGAGGGCCTAGAGGGAGGGGAGCGACCCGGGGTAGAGGGCCTAGAGGGAGGCGAGCGACCCGGGGTAGAGGGCCTAGAGGGAGGCGAGCGACCCGGGGTAGAGGGCCTAGAGGGAGGCGAGCGACCCGGGGTAGAGGGCCTAGAGGGAGGCGAGCGACCCGGGGTAGAGGGCCTAGAGGGAGGCGAGCGACCCGGGGTAGAGGGCCTAGAGCAGGGGTGGCCAACCCGCAGCTCGTGAGCCGCATGCGGCTCTTTGGCTGGTGCCGTGCGGCTCTCGGGCTTTCACACGACAAGCGTCAAAAACGCCTTGGTGGTGGCGCTGCCATTCATTCTCTATGTAGTTTTGACCCATAGTAAAAGCCGTTCTGACCCATTGACGTCGGCGAACGTCAATTCTGATTGGTCAGATGCGCTGTCAATCACTCTGCAGCTGCTGCCTCAGTTGTTGCAAATATCATAACAAACAACATGTTGCCTCGACCCATGACGTCCGTACGGAAAACAATTCCTTGGTCGCTGGATGAGGGCAACACCTTCCTCAGTTTGAGGGGAGGACACCAACGTGAGCTTGATGGTTCCACCAGAAACCAGAAGGTGTTTGTGGAGCTAGCCCTAAGGACGGAGCAGAATGATTCCCACAAACATGACAATGCAGGGAAAAGTGACGACTGTGAAATTAAAGATCACAGCAGCAGAAGTAGAGGCAGAACCAAAAAGTCTGAAGGTGGTTTGACCAAATGGATAAAATTTATGGACATCGGCTAACACCGGCTAACATGCTAAGTAAGGGATGGCGTGATGTTTATGTAGTGCACATTTGTATGATGTGGCTCTTTGCTGTAACACAGTAAAAAAAATGGGCTCTTAGTCTCTGACTGGTTGGCCACCCCTGGCCTAGAGGGAGGTGAGTGACCCGGGGTAGAGGGCCTAGAGGGAGGCGAGTGACCCGGTGTAGAGGGCCTAGACAGAGGTGAGTGACCCAGGATAGAGGACCCAGACAGAGGGGAGCGAGGGGGCCTGGGTACTGCAGGACTTGGCCTCTTAAAAGGTGACCTCACCTGCTAAAAAAAAACCTGACTGAGCTCTTTGGAATGGGCTCGGGGATGTGCCTACAGTGCTTCAAGAAATGTGTTCCATTTGTCAGATCTAACCGGTCAATTAATGATGTACAGTATTTTGGGCTTTTGCTTCTTCTTCAATTTGTTTTATCCGTTGTTTCCTCTGTCCGCCTTCTTGTTTTTTTCCCTTTGGTTTCCAGTAAAGATGGATTTTTTTCTATTCTTGGGTCTTCCATTGACTTTATTCCTTGCCAGGATTTCATTCTTCTTTCAGCAATATTTCTCAGGATTTTAGAGCCTTTTCATTTGAGTCTTAGCTCTTCAGATGTAACGTGAGCGCTTGTGTGAAGTTATTCTTATTCTTCAGTATTCGATTATAAAGTGCCTCCACCCTCAGCTTACTGTCCTTCTTGATCACCCATGTCTCTGATCCCTGCACCTTATACTACTACTACGACCACTACTGCACGGTCTGACCCTGTGTCTTGTCCTCGCAGGTAAAACCAGCCAAGTGTACCCCTTCGCTCTGCGTGGCCTGCTGCCAAACGCCACGGACAAATACTTCATCTACAACGGCTCTCTGACCACGCCCCCCTGCACCGCCACCGTGGAGTGGGTGGTCTTCAAGAACACCGTGTCCATCTCTGACGAACAGGTGAGACGCCAGCAGAATATTAAACGAGGAACTTTTGAATCTGTTTGTACATATCGAGTCAGAGTAAGTCCTGTAGATTGTGTAGATTTATTTTATTTAGTATAGAGGCATTGTTCATGTAAATTGTGCTGTGTGCTCCTCATTCCTACTGTTCTGTAACTGGTAGATGCAACACTGACATTTCTCCACTGTGGAACAAATAAAAGATCTCTTTATGGTTTATGCCTGGTTAGTACTGTGATGGGAGACCTCTGGGAACACCAGGTGCCACAGTGGGGCGGCTGCGGCTGTAAAGTACCAAACTGTTGTTGTGTCCATAGGCAAGTTACTTCACCCACACTGCCAAGAATGAGTCTGTGTGTGAATGGTTAGGGGTGGGAGGGGCCGATGGGGCACATACAGTACTGGTGCCGAGCTTCTGTCTGTGTGACCCAGGGCAGCTGTGGCTACGGCCCCAAAAAAACATTTTAGTTTTTCACTACTTTTATTACATTTATAATCCTATCGTTTTTTATATTTTGAAACAGGCTAAAACTGGTTATTTTATCTGAAATTCAACAAAACTAAATACTAACTGCTACAAGTAAACAGTGTGTTGCTATGGTAACCAGCACTTGCTCCGAGCTGAGATTTCTCTGAAACAGTCTAGTACCAGTCTAGGATCGAGATTATTTCATAAACATAATGTTTCTTAGCTTGCTGTAAATGCTTCAAAATGAATATATCATTGTATCTCCATCTATCTATATATCTATTTATGTATATGTATAGTGTAAAGTTTTATACTTATAGGGCAGGATAAAGATAAAAAGATAGAGACAGAAGCATACATAAGTAATAATTACACTTCCATGACGAAAAGCCGTCAAATGGACTGCTCTGGGATTCCTAGTGTTAATGTGTGAATTCTCCACTGCCACAGCTGTAGTCTTCGCAAACAGCCAAACGTCACACTCTCTTTTGTTCCACATGAAATCCGTCCGTGAACAACCTTTCGGAGCGGTATTCACTGCGCTTAAAGGCTGAATTATCATACCAGGACCTGCAGAGAAAGAACCGAGAGAGAGCCATCTTTGAGAAACCTCCCTGGGGCTATTTTGATGGACACCCATACAGCAGCAGTCACTTCAACAAGCAAATATCTCCCACAAAGACCTTTTTTAACGCCATTTAGACAGGAACACTTGGATACGCAGGGTTTTAAAAGGTTTCCCCTGGCCCCAATAGAGTCTTATCTCCCCAAAGCATGAGATACGGGTGACATTCAAAGGCATTCAAAAGAGCCTCCTCAGATGTGGTTAGGGAGTGTTGGTTTGCAGCCATTACACTCACTTATAATCCTACAACAAGTGAAAGCACAGCCCAGTAGCAGGCAATCAACAACATATCTGTGCCTAAATCTAGTCCCTGGGGCGTTCCAACAAAAACAATTACAAAGCTCACTGCTGGGAAATAATATGATCGCTACACACGCAACAAATGGACTGTTAATTCTCACACATGCATTTAAATCTGCAAAATGTCTGATCAATGTACTGTATGTGAATTTGCTTGTTGTGTGTCAGGCCCTTTAAATTCAATGTGGATGCCGTTTGAATGTGGTTGAACCCTGTAAAACAAGCATGGGACGTAATTTAGTTGCAAAATCTGGACAATAGATGGACGGTACGGTGGCAGAGTGGTTAGCGCTTGTGCTTCCCAGGCCTTTCTGAGTGGAGTTTGCATATTCTCCCCATGTCCGCGTAGGTTTTCTCTGGGTGCTCCGGTTTACGGTTGATATTTTTAACACATCTGAAGCAATTTTTGGATTCACTTTGTCCTTCACGGATTCGACTTACTGTCCGGTCTGAAGAGGGCTTTTCTGAGTGGAGTTTGCATGTCCTCCTTGTGTCTACCTAGGATTCCTCCAGGTGCTCCGGTTTCCCCTACCACTAAAGACATGCACAATAGATATGAATGTAATGAGTGAGTGAATGGAAGGTGTTGGTTGGGGCTTTGATGCGCCTGTGTGTTCGGCGTCTTGCTTCCGTCATCACTTTTGCGGTTTGCATGAAATGTACGTCTTGTGACTACATTTATAGTTTTCAATGATTTTTCCGCACCTGCTTTTTAGCCGACGAATCACGAGTCTACATATTTTGACCACCAAGTTTTTCTTCAGATTTAGATGTACTTTATTTGGCCATTTGCAGTAAAACCACCTTGGAATACATGTGCAATTGCATCAGACATGAGCAAGCTAAAAAACTACAGGAATAAAACAAGCTAAAAGTACAGGTATGGTTCTGAAGTCGGATACAGCCATAATATTGTTCAAGTGTCTTAAAGATGAAGCATAGATCAAAGGGAAGATTCCAACCTAAGAATCAAATTAAACCTTGTGGAATGTTCTCTCAATCCAAAGTTAATTCTTCTTACATAAAAGACATCCACTCCCCATTCAGCTCACGCTTTCCATGTGGCAGGTCTGAGCTGGTCCACTCCGCTCACATATCTCCCTTTCTCTTTGCTGTTTTATACTTGCCAGATTTAATGGTTTAACCTCACGACTTTTGCCCAACACAAAATGCTTTCTTCTCCTGTTTTCTCTGGCGGAGCGGGAATGAGTCAGACGCCGCAGGGCCCTGAATCACCTGAGCGGAGCGCAGGTACAGAGCCTGCGGTTGGAGCTGCTTTCACACCCGTTTCACTGCAAAACACACATAAAAGGATTACCCCATATTTTGGCATGTTTTAATTGAGTTATAAAGGCCGTGGCTGAGTGATGATTTCGGTAGTAATATTAATGCAATCTTATAGGCACAGGGGTTCTCTAAGCATTTAATTTCAATGTATTCTTGTATAGCCCTAAATAACAACAGCAGTCGTCTCGGATGACTTTACAAAGTTGTCGATTTGCCAACAACGAATAAGAGAATCAAACAGATTGAACACAAGAAAAAATCACATTAGAGCCATTGGTCCAAAGGGTGCGGGATGACCAATGTCCATGAATGTAAAAAGATTTCCATAAATGTCCCTAAATGTGTTTGTTCTTCATTGTCCTTAGAGCCTCATTTCGTACTAAAGCCTTTCATTTCGTACTAAGGTCTGGATTTGCTCCACTAAGCTCCGTTAACAGGTGGAAGGGGTTAACTCCTTTTGCAGATCGAAACGATTAGATCTGAGTTTACCGCGACGTTTGTAATGTGCCCGAGTGAGTGAGGCATTTAGCATTTTGCCTAGCTTTAGCCATCTCCTTTGCCACTAACGGATCCCGTGGGTAGTAGAACCACAACATTTTTGCCAGCAGAACCAGAGCTGAACCAGAACAGATTACTTTACTTTTGCATTCGCCTAACCTGGCAAAAGCCAGATTGATGATTGTGTAGAACTCTAACGCGTTCTCCGCGATATCAATCTGGGATTTCTCCCGGAGAATCCTTTCGGGGAAAGGAGGGGTAAGCAGCAGAATACTTGAAGCTGATTGGGCGAAGTGACGCTGTGTGCCCGCCTACCAAGGTTGCCGTCCAGAAATGTACAAAGCGCCTCTCGCTGTTCATCTTTCAAAAAAGAAATTGGAGATTCTGCTAAAACTGACTTTGCGTCCGTCCTCCTGCGTAGCCATGTTTGTTTTGCTTCGGCCCGGCACTTCTTGCTTTTGTCAAACCCGGATATCCCGCCCTAAACCCCCAGACTGGCGCGTGATTGGCTCGCACACCCAGTGGTTCGACTCGAAAAGTGTAAGCGGGAGCGGTACAAGATGTATTCTCGAGTGTTTGTGAACTCACAAATACCGCGAGAATTCAGCTTGCAGGCAAGGTTAGCATTCGCCACCATCGCCAAACTTATGTTAGGATTTAGCAGACAGAGACGGATCGTGGTGTGCCAAACTCTGGAAGTTTATTTAAGTTTCTCTCAAGTTCCACTGGTTTACTCTGTTTCTTTCTCTCAGACAGAATAAAGGCAGTACACAGTTTATATAGTCATTGTCACGTCACACATCGAAAGACATACGTGTCACAAAGAGACAGTCACATCATAGTCATAACATGGAGTCCTTGTAGAGTCCTTGTACAGTCCTGCACGTAGGCCATATTGCTATCTAATACTAACACCCTCCCCTTTGATCACATAATCACATGTGATCACTCAAATCGATCAATCAATAAAGTGGAAAAAGAAAAAAAAAAAAAATCCTAAAAAAAACTTTAAAAAATGATTAAAAACAAAGAAAATGTATGCATTACACTCATAATCATCAAATCAATATCAGTGGATTTTATCCTCTATCCTGGGAAAAAACAAACAAACAAAAATAAAGTAAATAAACAAACAAAAAACAAATCAAAAATAAAAACAAACAAACACTATTGGACACACAAGAACTCAGCAGATTCAGTCAAAACACAGACAAAAAACGAGCTGAGTCTCAAATTTGAAGCTGATTTCACTTTTCTTACTCTATACTTTTATTCTAATGCTAATTGTTTACACTACACTTATTTCACTTTATTATTTTCACTTTTTAATCTTACACTGTGTACTTTACTTTCACTATTCACTATAGTTTAAAACTATTCTAATCTATTTACAAATATGTTTGCATATTTGCTTATATTGAGCCATATTTTTAAACATACATTTTAATCTAACAAATCTCTCTGTGGTTTTATACTCTCATTATTAGTGGCTTATTGTTAGTGGGATTTTGCTCCATGTCTATTCTCATTCTCAGGAATAAAACTGTGAACACAGTAAGGCAAATGGTCAACATTTACACTTCTATAGTGGTCAGTGATTTATTACTTTTTATTATCTAAAGATATTATTGTCAGGCAGTTTGGGATGAATGTACATCATTAATCAAATTAGTATTATCCTAATAGTAGCTAATTAGGTTTGGGGTTGGGGTCAGTTATTCTACAATGGTGTTTGTGCTGGAAACTTCTCAATATCTAAATATCTACTATTGTGTTTTTGTGCTATACACAAATACATCAAAATGCTTTTAAATGCTT